GGGGGGGGGGTGGGGGTTGTTTTATTCCTTTCCCTTTTATACCCTTTCACATTTTTCTTTTTTTGTTTTATTTCAGTTACACATTAATTTTAATTTTTGACAAATATATCTATAGCCCCTAAAATAATGTTTCAGAACAATCCACTACTATAAAAAAAAAATTTACCCTGATAAAATAGTCTAGTATTTTATAAAATACCAAAGTCGTTTAAATAGTTGTTTAGCTACTGTTTAAATCATTTTAGTGCTTTAAATCTTTTTACTAAAATGTGGTTCCTCCACCATTTGGACTTAGGATTTATTTGTCCCATTTTGAACATTTTAGTCTTGACGTTTGAAGAATTTACCGTTTGACTCGATTTTGAATTTGAATTTGAATCGGTGTCGAACTAACACGAGATTAGCAACAGTAACCATCGTGACGTGGCATCATTAACAGAGGTTTACTGTAGCTCAAATACCCGGGCGTCACATCTTGTCTCCACCGCGGCCGTTGCCGCGGCCGGCCATCCTCCCCGCGCCGCGACCCGCACCGCGTCCCGCACGGCCCGCATCCGCGCCTTGGCGCCGCTCCCCCTGGTGCCCGCGCCCCGCATCAATCGCCATAGGGGGCGAGGCAGCAACCTCCGCGAAGGATCGAGGATCTCCACCCACCTTGCCTCTCCACCACCCCCACTCCTCTCCAGATCTCGATCTAGGGTTTTTCTCTGCCGTCCAGAGGTGGGCGAGGGCAGAGTCTAGGTCAAGCAGGGGTCGGGGCGGAGATTTTATACCCCCACCACGCGCCCGCGGTCGCGAGTGGATGCTTGGATGTGCACCCACGTGTCGCCCATCCGCCATGGATGGGTGGGGTTCTGAGGTTGTGTCCGTGTCGCACCGCGCCCGATCCGCCGTGTACCGCCCATCGGTGTATCCGTGTACCACGCCTGTCCGCTTCGCTTCCTCCGTCGTGTCTCCCGCCGACGCGCCCGACGCCGGCAGGCGGTCTCGCACCTTTGCAAAATGGCAGGGGAACGAGATCATATCTCCGATGTCGATGGAATCGCCCTCGCGGAGATACCGCGCGTCCACGATGACGCCGCGCTCATCGAAGAGGACGAGACACATCGCCCCTCGCCGGAGGACGACCTCCCCGTCGATGAACCGGAGAGCGCCCGTCATCAGGTCGGCGGCGAAAGAGACCCGCCATCGCATGTCTTGACCCGTCATCAGGTCGGCTAGGGGTGGCTACTGTAGAAGGTGGGCAGAAGGAGGTGCTCCAGTTGTTTGAATTTACAAATGATGAATCGCTCCACTCAAAACTGAGTCATCTCAGGATGTGCTCTGCTCATTTTAGGCTTACATATATGTGGGTGCCAGCGGCACTAGACTACAGGAGTACAGGCCTACAGGGTACTGTTGAGCGTCAGCTAATTGACGTTAGAAGTCTATATCTTCCTCTTCAGAATCTGTGGGTTGTTCATCACTATCTTGGGCTACTTCATCTTGGAATTGGTCATCATCGGCTACTACATCTAGGAACTGCCGAACCTCTGCTTGGAGACGTATGATGTCGTCGGAACATAGGGATCTCTGAAAGCTGAAGCATTCCATAACGTCATGCCGGCAAGTGGGGCACGTCGTGGCCTTGTGGAACCACGGCATGATGCACCGGCTATGGAAGGCATGCGAGCATGGCAGCCTGCTGGCGGTCTCCCCGTCTTCACTCTTCAAGCCCAAGAACCCGTCTTCAATCTCCAAGTCCAGCAAATAGATGGCGCACACCTCGCGGGGCTCACGGCGGCGCTTCCGCTTCCGGCCACGTGCAGTGACTCCGGCAGCCTCCTTGTCGACCAAACTCACATGTAAATGGGGCATCTCGATGTCTACGTCGTATCCCAAGTCTCCGATCCCGCTGCTGGAGCGTAGGTACCTGACGATCCCCATGGCTATGTTAAGGGCCGGCGTACGGAGTGAATCCTCCCAGTTGCCGTGCTCGCCGGCCGCCAGCGCCTCAGTGAGCATCACGTGGATGAGTCGGCTGCAGGCCTCCATGGACTTGAAGGTGGTGGGGTCAAACCGAAACCAGTACCGTTGGTCGAGCGCCCTGAAGACTTGATCGGTCACGCACACCACCCCGCCGCGTGGTCCGATCGCGCGCGACCCCTGCGTCAGGATCAGGTCGCCGTGGAGGCGCAGGAAGCACGGGCGGTCGCGTGGCTTGTGCCGGAAGTGGATGGTCCCTTGCCCTTGGAAACGGCTGCGGGTCTCCGTCGCCGCCGCGGCGTGCGGCCACGGCGGCAGTACTGCTGGCGCTGCCATGGCCGCTGCCGTCTCGGTGGAGTCCTCCATGGTCAGCTGATCAATGAACAAGCGGACTGGCGGACGGGAAACAACCGAGGTTCGACCTGCGTGCCCGGCTACATTTATGAATGCGCGGGCATTGGGCGGAGTAGGAATCGAATCCGAGGTCAGGTAGGAGTAGGACTCTAGGAAGAGCAGGAAACGCTTGTCCACACGGCCTCCAGCTACTATCCTTTCCGGTTCTCACAAAAAAAAAAGAAGCTACTATCCTTTCCTTCGGATAGTAGTACAAAAAAAAATATTCCAAAAAAGTAGTAGAAAAAAACAAACTTTTTGTAGTACTCCACCTGTTCCTAAATATAAGTCTTTTTAGACATTCCACTACAAACTACATACGGATGTATATAGACATATTTTAAAGTATAGATTCACTTATTTTATTTTGTATGTAGTCTACCGTGAAATATCTAAAAAGATTTATATTTAGAAACGGAGGGAGTAGTAATAAATGTCTAAATCAAGGACACTTATTTTTCAACGGAGGGAGTAACATCTTATTTGTAAACATATCGACCATAATCGAATCTTGATTGATTACTCAAGTGAAATGTTATCTGAATCCACGATCTCAAGGCAACCCGTCGGCATGCGAGCGTGGGGCCAGTCCAGGCTTGGCCGCGCGCACGTCGTCGTCTGCTTTCAAGGTGGCCCACTGTCGTCGCAGTCCAGAGAGGGCTCGCCGGTGTTGGGCAGGGGGTGGGTGGGGAGAGGGGATGCCGACAAGGTGCTCGATGAAGCACTCGATCTGGCAAGATTGAACCACTCTTGTGGCCTTGTTCGGGTCTTTTTTGTTTGAGACAACTTGTTTGGATTGTTGCCGGGGAGGTGGAGATAGAGCATTTACAGAGTTTTGGTCCGGATGGCGCACGGAAGAGGCTGCCCCCTAGACCCATTCCACAAGAAATACCTTAGGGAACTACTCACTTAAGATTGTCGTTTCCCACTGTTCTTCACTCCCGGCAATGATTATGTATTTCATCGACCAAAACCAATTGTGGAAGGTGTTGGAATTAATGGGTTTATTACAGAGATCGGGCCCAAATTAATTTCAGATTTGGAGAGAAGTCAAGGGGGTGGACAGCCATGTGGGAGTTTAGTCCCACATCGCTATGGGAGCAAGAGTTTTACCTGCTTATAAGGGGGCCTCTCATGGTTCTATTGATTGGGATGACTAAAGATGCAAGTGTACACCACACGCGCGCTCGCTCGCATTTCGCATTTATTCGCGTTTAATTACTTGTGACTTTGGCGAGGCGAGCGCGACCGTGGCCTAATACAATGCATTTTTTGTTATTTTTATCGCGCAGTTTTTACTCTTATCCACCCGCGTCTGTCTCACGCACGAACCGAGGATAGACTCGCATGTTTGCGTGCGGTTACAGGTTCGTTCGTGATGGAGATATCTCAAGGGGCGGATCCTAGGATATAGGCAGATCGTGCTACGTGGGGTTTATCCATCCGAGTCTGTAAGAGGGAAATGTCCTTCTCGCCAGAGACACTCGAGGAAAACACAACCCTAACCCGTTCTCATCTGCGCCGCCGCCGTCGACCTTCGCCGATCCTCTCCCTGCCGTGCAACAGGGCGAGGAGAGCAGTAGTCTCCGGACTTTCCCTGGCATTGGCGACCTGCATGGGTAGCCGGGCGATAAAGTTTCTGGGTAGTGCATCCGCACGGCTGCTCAATCTTCTTCAACTACGTCCGTCTGCACTGTGATCAGTTCATCATCAACTCTCCATCGACATCTCCGTCTTCACTGCGATCTCATCATCAACCCCGCTGTAAGATATCCTTTTGTGATCGGTTATATTTTATGTGATCTTGTTATGGGACTTCCGTCCATGTCGATTTCATTTACTCTGTTAGATTTCATCTACGTGATTGCATGTATAAATCTGTTAGATCTGTCCTTGTTATCAGTCTCACATAAATTCAGAATTATATTAATTGTAATACCTGCCATATTTCCAACAGTCCAAAAACTTTATTACTGTGCAATGGCTAGACCAAGCGATGTGATGAAACCTGAGAGGTTTGGGGGTGAGAACTTCAAAAGATGGCAGACCCGTGTGAAGTTCTGGCTTATGAGCATGAACTTGTGGCGGGTGATTTCACCCACCATTGAGAGGCCACTCACGCAGGAACAACAGCGTGATTTTGAGGTGTCTTCAGACACGGCCATGGGCTGTCTTCTCTCCCTCATGACCGATCAGCTTTGTGACATATATATGAACTTTGCTAGTCCTGCCCTTGTTTGGGAAGCGCTCGACAGGATGGAGAGTCGGATGTTGGGCGTGAACTATATGTTAATGAGCTGTATCACGATTTTAAGATGGCCGCTAATAATTCAGTTGTGACACAAGCCCATGTGATCCAGCTCCTGGTGGGGGAACTCGCTGGTTTTGGAGTCATTCTGTCTGACAAGTTTGTGCTGGGGGGGGGGGCATTATTGCCAAGTTACCTCCATCTTAGAGGAGCTTTGCCACCACTCTCGAACACAAGAGGGAGGTGATGACTTTGGAAAGTCTCATCGCCACTCTTGATGTTGAGGAAAAGGCCAGAGCGAAAGATGCGGAAAAAGTTCCTCCCCAGTCGGTTCTGAATGCCAATGTCGTGCAAAGTGGGGCTGGCAGTTCCGGTGCAAAGAATTACAAGAACAAAGGGAAGGCAAAACAAACCACCGGCTTTAAGAAGAATAATAAAGAAAAGGGTGACTTCAACTGCTTTGTGTGTGGTGAGCCTAGGTACATAGCCAGGAAGTGCCGCATGCGCAAAGGCAGGAAGGAAGGAGGACATCCATCTGCGAATGTTGTCGTTAGCGAGGCAGGTGGAGGATCTGGGTATGTCCCTAGTGTCCTTCTTGTATGTCAATCCACTGATTGGTGGATAGATACTGGAGCTAATGTGCATGTTTGTGCTGACTACAACTTGTTTTCTTCTTATCAGGCTTGCAGCGGTTCCACCATCGTGATGGGGAACGAAACAAGGGCAACCGTTCATGGAACCAGTAGAGTTGACCTAAGGCTTACCTCGGGGAAGACTTTGTCGCTCAAGAACGTCCGGCATGTCCCAGGAATAAATAGGAACCTGCTTTCTGGTTCACTGCTGTGCCGTGATGGCTACAAGCTGGTGTTTGAGTCGAATAAGTTTGTTATTTTGAAATTTGGTTTGTTTATTGGAAAAGGCTATAACAGCAGAGGCTTGTTCCGCCTTTCTATTCTAGACGAATGTAATGTCGTAAACAATTTATCTTGTTCTTCATATTCTGGAATAAATGTTGGAGATGTTGCTGTTTGGCACTCTCGTTTATGTCATATAAATTTTGATCGCATTGTTCGGTTATGCAAGCTTAATTTAATTCCGAATGTCTCCATAGTCCGTGGATCTAAGTGTCTGTCTTGTGTGCAAGCAAAGCAACCCTGAAAACCATTTAAACCTATTGGGGAGAAAAGCCTTTCACCTCTAGATTTAATCCATTCAGATTTGTGTGAGATGAATGGAGTTTGGACTAAGGCAGGGAAAAGATATATGATGACATTGATAGATGATGCGAATAAGTGGTGTCATATTTATCTAGTAAAAACGAAAGATGAGGCGTTGAACTGCTTTAAGATCTACAAAGCTGAGGTAGAAAACCAATTAGAGAAGAAGATCAAACGCTTAAGGTCTGACAGAGGGGGGGGGGAGTATGTCTCACATGAGTTTGCTGAATTTTGTGCGGAGCATGGAATTATCCATGAGGTAACCCCTCCCTACTCTCCCCAATCAAATGGAGTGGCAGAACGCAAAAACCGAACACTTACGGACTTGGTAAATGCCATGTTGGACAGTGCCGGTTTAGCTAAGTCATGGTGGGGAGAGGCTGCGTTGGCTGCATGTTATGTTCTCAACAGAGTTCCTTCATCAAAAGGAGATACAACTCCACATGAAGGATGGAAAGGACACAAACCAACTCCGCATTTCTTACGTGCTTGGGGCTGTTTAGCCAAGGTTAATGTACCTGTATGCAAGAAACGAAAATTGGGACCTAAGACTGTTGATTGTATCTTTCTAGGTTACACACATAATAGCAACGCTTATAGATTCTTGGTAGTCAAGTCCGAGTTTTCTGATGTGCACACTAACACTGTGATAGAATCTCGAGACACTACCTTCTTTGAGAACATCTTTCCAGTGAAGGAAAATAGAGCATCCACTAGTCAACCAACTATACAAAAAGAATTTGAACCCGAGCCTGAACCGGAAAGTACTCCTTTTGTAACTCCGTATAATCCAACTGAGGAGGATGATAGCAAAGTAGCTCCCAGAAGGAGCAAGAGACAACGGACTAAAAGGTCCTTTGGAGATGACTTCGCTGTGTACCTCGTGGATGATGTTCCCAGAACTCTCTCTGAAGCATATGCATCCCTAGATGCTGATGATTGGAAGGAGGCAGTCCAAAGTGAAATGGATTCCATTCTCACTAACAGAACATGGGAAATCGGTCCACGACCGATGGGTTGTAAACCTATTGGTTGCAAATGGATATTTAATAGGAAGTTAAGACCTGATGGTACCATTGAAAAGTATAAGGCTGGACTCGTGGCCAAGGGTTTTACCCAAAAGGAAGGTGAGGATTTCTTTGATACATACTCGCATGTTGCTAGGATGACTACAATTCGGGTGCTGATTGCTCTAGAAGCATCTTATAAATTCCTAATCCATCAAATGGATGTGAAGACGGATTTCCTAAATGGAGAGCTTGATGAGGAAATTTATATGCAGCAACCTGATGGTTTTGTAGCAACCGGGCAAGAGAACATGGTGTGTAGATTGAAGAAATAACTCTATGGCCTCAAGCAGGCGCCGAAGTAGTGGCATGAAAAATCTGACAAAACTCTCACTTCGGCAGGCTTTGTGGTGAATGAATGAGACAAATGTCAAATATGGTGGGGGTAAGGGTGTAATCTTATGCTTATACGTTGATGACATATTAATTTTTGGGACCGAT